AGACAAAAGCTTTTGGGAGAACATGGCACAAACATGTCAACAGTGTATCTCTAAAACTGTGTATTTCGTTTGTGGGGACGAGGTCACGAGGGCACCTGTGCTCAAGACACCGAGAGCAATGTTCTTGGACTATTATTTATACGTGTGTGTGTGTGTGGAGGGAGTAAGAAATATACTTTATTAATCAAGTATTTAGGTAGCTTTTTGCCTCCCCTCAATGAATAAAGGACCTGACAAATACAGATTACTGTAAGAAGAATAATACTTAGACAGTTATTACATTACATTACAATTATTAAAAATAAATTAAACAAACCTACAGGTAGATAGATAGAAAACATTGTGTCCACAATGTTTTTCATCTTTTTGGTCGATTGTCTTTTTCCATTGTTATTCCTCAATTTAATTATTTTTATTTGTTCATTTACGTTATGTTTATTTTAGAGCAGGCTTGCTGGTTTGTTTCGACTATCTAGATTATAGTCTTATAGTGTTGGAAAGAATTATGCACCTCAAATGATTCTAGATTTGACAAACTTATAAGAGATTTTATTGATATAAAATAATTTAAGATATAGGAATTGAATTTAAAGATTAAACAAATATACAGTTTTTGAATATATAAAGGGTTGAGTTGAACGAACATGAATAATGTTCATCCCTTTTTTTATCACTTGATTTATTTAGTTTTTAATTTGATTTTTTAATATTGAGTTTATCTGAGATCAGACTTAATTACTTGTTTTGATTGTTTATATACAGGGATTATGATGTTAGGAAAAATATTTAGCAAGCAAGTAATAATCGGTTTTACAAAATAAAAACCAATTTATTTATCCAAGCAATTAATGATCGATTTTATAAAATAAAAACCATTTTACTTATTTTAAATAATTAGGCTTGAAGAACTACATTTGAAGTTGAAATAAAAGCATGAACAAAAATGAATGGGCATTTAAGAAATGGTTGACATATGTGTTGCACAAACCAGTGTGTGAGAGGTCTATTGTGATATGGAGGTGCGTACAATCTCCTCTAGCCATAAAATATGACATTCCAAGGTGTCGTTCAAAGCTTCTTAGCAAGGGCCAGTAGTTGATATGCGCACATGGGCGTTGATTAGTAGTAATGCATTTAGTTACCCATTTTTTTTTCTTTTCTTTTTCTTTTTTTTCTCGAGTTTCATGCGATGCTTTCTTAATTTTCTCTTTTGTCAATTTTGTTCATCACTTTTTTATTCTTATGTTTCATGGGTCTGTTTTTTTTTTTAATGGACTATTTTATTAATTTCATTTTTTATCATTTGATTAATTGGAGATTGAATTTTATAATTTTTATAATTTATTTCTTATGAGGGGATCTCAATTTCATGACCTAAATAACAGATTTGAAAGGTTGAGTAGGGTTTTTTTTTATCCTTTTTATTTTTTTCCATTTCATTTTTGAATATTTGGTTAGTTGAGAATTGAGTTTCATAAATTTTTTTATTTATTTTTTATGGGGTTATCTCAATTTCATGATTTAGGTCACAAGTTTTGCAAATTAATCATGATTAACTCGAGTTATTTTTTTAGATTTTGTTTCAATTACACCCTTCAACATCTTATTAATTTAGAAACTAAGCTTCATATTTCATTTCACTTTTCTTTTTATAGGTTTATCCTGTTCTTAAAACCTAGATTGCAGGTCTAAAAGGTTTACTCAAGTTACTTGAGTCATCTTTTTCTAAATTTAATTTTTTTCTCTATTTCTTTAATCAGCATTTAGTTGATTTGAAATTAAGTTTTATAATTTGTGTTTTTGTTAGGTTATTTTTTTTAATTTTATCCTTCATTGTTTTACTATTTAGGGATTGGGTTTGATAATTTTTTTCAATTTGAATGTATGGGGATATATCGGCTTCATGACCTAAGTCATATGTTTGGAAAATTAACCCATATTAGCTTTGGTTGTTTCTTTTCATGGTTTTTTTTTAAAATTAATTTCATCATTGAATATTTGGTTAGTTTGGAATTGAGTTTTGTAATTTTTTCAATTTACTTTCTATGATTTTTTGATTTTATGAATCAGGTCATAAGCTTTATAGGTTAACTAGTTGAATTGAGTTGTTTTTTTTGTTATTTTCTTAGTTTTATTTTTTTTAATTTTTCCTTTTAATATTATGTTTGTTTGGGAATTGAGCATGATATATAATTATTTTTCAGTTTGTTTTTCAAGAGTTTATTTTGTTCTCATAATCCACATTACGAGTCTAACATGTTTGTCTATATTGACTTGAGTTATTTTGGTCATTTTTTCTTAACAGTAAAGGTTTTTCTCATTTTCATTATTCTATAGTGGATTGATTTGAAATCAGGCTTCATAATTATTTTTTATTTGATTCATATAAGGTTATCACCGTTTTACAACATACATCATGAATTTTATAAGTTAGCTAAGATTGGTCTAGGTCTATCTAATACGTCTTAATATTTATAAAAAAGATATATTATCCAATATATCACCGATTCAATATCTAACAAAGGTTTTGATCAATATGTATCAGGGTTTGAGTTCATGATTATATTTGTTATAGATTTAAGGTTTACTTAATGATTTATTTTGATTAACTTGGTATGGGATCCTCGCCATGTTTGAAAATAAACTCGACACTTAGATGATGCATTTGGAAAAATCAAAGTCAATTCTATTGTTTTTTTTTTCTGATTGGATCTTTCCAAAAAAAAAATTGTCATTTTATTTTTTTGGTCACTTGACTTTTTTTTTCTTCAATTTGATACTTTTATATTATGATGATGCAAGGTTGGCCTGATGATTTATTTCAATTGGTTTGGTATGGGGTCCTCACGGTATCAAGAAACATATATGATCTCGGTTGATGCTAGATTTGGCAAAATCAAATTCAATTTTGTTGATTATTTTTACTGATTCCTTCCATGTTATTTTTTTATCATTCGATTTTGTTTGTCACTTGAATTTTGTTTTTCAATTTAATCCTTTTATATTAGATTGATACAAGGTTGGGCGGGGTGATTTATTTTGGCTAGCTTTGTATGCAGTCCTCGCAGTGTTAAGGAAATAAATTTGATGCTAGATTAATATTTAATTTGAAAAAATCAAATTCATTTTATTTGATTTTTTTCGACTCAATTCTTCTGTTACTAATTTAATTATGAGTTATTGGTGAGATTTGTAATAGAAAATAAAATTCAAAGAAACGGAACCGGAATGGAAAAAATAGGGAAACCATATGGTGAATTTGAAATTTACATAAAAGGTCATTTAAGTCCAGAAATTTAGTTTGTTTATTTTTTGATCCCTAGATTGAGAGGGGAGAGGAGAATCTCATTGAAAAACGATAAATAAGAGGGAAAATTATTGATCCTCACAACCAAAATAAATGATCTTAGTATTTTTATTCCAGTTCTTTTTGCTTTTTTATCGAACTAAGAAATTTTTAATGGAGTTTAATAAGAAAAGGAGGAATTATAATAGAATTGTTTTTCAATGGAGTTTAAATTATTTATTTTCTAATAAAATAATTTTATTATACAACGTATTTTTATCTTAATTCATTGAGTCAATCTTTGATTGAAATCAACATATTTGTTATTATCTATTGATATATATAATTTTTGATTTATTTTATTGAATACATATATCAATTTTTTAGTTTTCAGATAAATATTTTTTTAATGCTAAAGAAAATTAACAATTCCTATATTTTTTTAATTGAAAAAAAAAAGTTCCATCCCCCAAAGTTGGTGGTGCTGACTAGATGGTAAATTTTAAAATGGAGTTATTGCTGGTGTTCCTCACAATATCAATCCTCCTCTGGGTGATTAAATGCTCTTTTGCTGGATCAAGATCTTAAATTATTGGGAAATAGCTTTCCACCATACTGTTTATATTAATTTAGTTTTCTATTTTAGAGATTATAGGGCCCTTACCATTTTTATTTTATTTTAAAGAGAGAGAGAGAGAGAGAGAGAGAGTATATGTGCAACAGTCCATTTCTCGCAATATTTTGAGAGGACGTGTGCACTAAGCGCAATCCTCATATGTGCATTTCAGAGCATCAAATGTTGGGCGAGGAGATGACATACAATTAATACTGTGCAAGCTTGCATAAATTTTTCATATTGGAAAAAGAAAATCTGAGTTCTTGACATGCATTCATGAGGGCTTTTGTAGAATTATCAGACAAGATAAAATAAGAAATCAAAATTGTCCATTATTATGTGTATTTTCCAGACCGACATCCTCTTTTCCTCATCTGCACAAATGCTGACCCACCTTGCCAAGCAAGTCCATTCTCCCTCCCTCCCTCCCTCCCTCCCTCTCCCTCTCTCTCTCTCTCTCAATAAAATAGTCATGGGGCAAGAGGTTGCATCAATGGGGACCGACCCCGTATTTCCTTTCTACCTTTCAATTTCAAAACCCGCAAAGAGACAGAAGCTTTATCATAATCAAATTATTGATTGTTCTTTAAGAATAATAAAAACCATATAGTAATAGAATACTAGCAGGAGAACAGCACAGCACAGCACAGGAGTATTTTTAATTACCAGTGTAAAAACAGAGTAGATAGTATATATCTATTCCCCGCGAGCATGTCTGCTGGAACTCAATCACAGAGCTAATGATGCTATAGCTGGTGTGAGTGCACAGAGAAAGAGAGGGAAAGAGTTTTTGCTTTTTAACTCTTTTACCTACCGTATGTTAAAAGCCTGTAATTATCAAACTTCTTATGATATCTCTCTATCTCTATCAAGCAAGGATATTGGGGTGTTTGGTGATTAAACTCTTTCTAAACCTCTCCTTTTACATGGATTGCTTTATATCTGCTGTACTTTTTATGGATGGAAAAGGTGGCATTGAGTAATCCAATGTTTTAAAGTTTAAACTTTATAGCGTACAGGGAAATATTATTTGCCGATACAATTATTAGAAAAAAGAGAGTATATTATATATTTTCTAGCTAAGACTTGGAAGAGAACAAAGGAAAAGACAGAGAGTGCACGTCAGAAACAAGCCTGCTGGTTTGGATTTTGGTTGTGTGGAGGGCTTCAAAGGAATCCTTTCTCATCCTCATCTCTCTCTCTCTCTCTCTCTCCCTCTTTTTTTCTCTCTTCACGCATACACACAGCCATGTTTTCATCTCATTTCTTCATGTATCCATGGTACTTTACATTCAATTGATTTACTAGATGCTTCGTGTTGGTTTTGCTTAATCCTCCTGGTGTTAGGAAGCAAAGGCGAGTTCAAGTCTTAAAGGAGTTTGGTGCTTTTCCACCTAGGAACTAATTTTATTTCTTTCTTGTCCATTTCTTGTTCTTTAGTACTGTACTTCTTTTCTCTCTTCTTATGCCTCTTAATTCTCAAGGTTATTGTGGAAAGAGAAGTGATATCATCAATATGTAAGCTGCAGAGAGAATGAAAGGATATTTGTTACATACATACATATTGAAATCACAGAAATTTAAGAGGTCTTATTGTTTTCCACTTTTGTTAGCCTTACTAAATTAGGGTTCCCGCTCAGATCCTAGGACATTTTGTCACACATAAAAAAAAGGTTGATCTGTGGCTCATGAATGCATATCTTGTAGCTTGTGTCATCGCCTACGAAGTCGTGTGATTATTTCTTTAATATAGAGGGAAAATATGATGAAAGGCTTGGTAATGGATGAGAATATGTCCAATTTAACTTCAGCATCCGGTGAAGTAAGTGCTTCTTCAGGCAGCAGAATTGAAACCAGTGCTAGACACCCACAACAGTCCTTTGATTCGACAAATCAACCACCACCAAAGAAGAAGAAAAATCTTCCAGGAAACCCAGGTTTCAAATCAAGACCATTATATCTTGCTTGCAAATCAAATTAGCTAACAGCTGCTCCATTATTGTTTTTTGTTTGTACCTTGATATTGGTTTGATTTTTCATCAGACCCAGATGCAGAAGTGATAGCTTTGTCTCCCAACAGTCTACAAATGACAAACAGATTTCTATGTGAGATCTGCAACAAAGGATTCAAAAGAGATCAGAATCTTCAACTTCATAGAAGAGGGCATAACCTGCCATGGAAACTAAAGCAAAGAACAAACAAGGAGGTGAGAAAGAAGGTGTATGTGTGTCCAGAGGTTACATGCGTGCACCATGACCCATCAAGGGCTCTTGGGGACCTTACAGGGATCAAGAAGCACTTTAGCAGAAAGCATGGTGAGAAGAAGTGGAAGTGTGAAAAGTGCTCAAAACGTTATGCAGTTCAATCAGACTGGAAAGCTCACTCTAAAATTTGTGGCACAAGAGAGTATAGATGTGATTGCGGTACTCTTTTTTCTAGGTAAGTACTACAATATACAATTCAGTTTCCACTCCACAGATTCACTTCTTTTAGTCTTTAGTCATCTATGGTTAACCTTAGTAGCTCTCCTTAATGCTGATATGTTCCTCCTTGTGTGAAATAGAGTAAAGAAAAACATAAAGAAAGTATCTTGAGTTCTTGACTTCATCCTCATGATTTCGAAAGGTTTTCAGCTCAGAGAGACAGACAGAGAGTGAGAGAGAGACTTTATTAAGTAGTAAAATTATTCTGCTATCTTTAAAGTGCTAAGAACGAGAAATTTTAATGGTTAGATCTACTATGATTTTGTCCTTGTTGAAGGAACGAAAATACAAAAAGTAGCTAGAGAGAGAGAGAGAGAGAGAGAGGTGGTACTTCACCACTGTTTGCTTCATTTTAATGGTATACTTTTTTTGTTTTCTTCTGCTTGTTTTTTGTGGTTACAGGAGGGACAGTTTCATCACTCACAGAGCCTTCTGTGATACTTTAGCAGAAGAGAGCGCAAGATCTATGACGGTTCTCTCCTCTCAACAGCCTGGCTCCTCAGCTTCACACCTGATGAACTTACAAGCCTTATCAGTCAAAAGAGAGCAAGATCAAAACCAGTATCTTTTTAATCCAAGACCAGATAGCATCCCGCCATGGTTAGCTTGTCCACCAATAGGAGAAGCTGGTCCAGGTCCACCACAAATCAATCTCTCCTCGCAGTTATTCCCAGCAAATTTAGACCAGTCATTTTTGCAACATGGAAACCCTAGCCCTAACCCTACTGTACTTCCTCCATTCCAGCCCTCATCAACAGCTTCCCCTCACATGTCTGCCACTGCGTTGCTGCAAAAAGCAGCACAAATGGGGGTGACTGTGAGCAAGCCTTCTCCGTCACCTGCTACTGCTGCCATACTTAGACCCCACCAAGGTCACATGTCTGATCAAAACCCTGGTTTCGGTTCCACATTGCCAGCTACGTCCACAGCAAAACCTGGTCTATTTTTTACATCACGTGAAGAGATGGGAAGTGGGTTTGGTCATGGTCTGGCATCTCTAGAGGATAAAGCTGGTACTGTCACCTCTGGTATCATGGAATATCTTGCTGCAAGTGATGGAGGAGGGACTTCTCTAGTCCATGATATGATGAGTTCTTTGTCTTCTGCGAGTGGATTTGATGGTTCATCTTTTGACAACGAGGATTTCAATGGAATGTTGAATCCAAAAAGAGACAGTAGTAATTTTCAGGAAATTCTATCCAAGTCAACAGAGTCTCGATTTATAAGGAGTGATACTGCATCTGGTAGTCATCATGGAGGCGGCAATGACGGCTTGACAAGAGATTTCTTGGGTCTTAAAGCCTTTCCCCACAAGGACTTTCTAAATCTACCAGCTGGGTTTGATCACATTAGCCCTTCAACATACGGGCAAAGGAACCAAAATCTGCCACCACCTTGGCAAGGTTAGCATTTTATGGATCTGTACGTCATATATATCACCCAGTCTTTCCTTTCCTTCTTCTTAGAAAGATTAAAAAACAAAAAAAAAAATGTCCACGGACATATATTTCTACGGCTTTCCTAATTAAACTTGTATGAACACTGAATACTCCACAGTTCTACCTCGGGTTTTGAATGTTCTTTCCAGTCTTTCTCCTCTCATTAATTATAGCATAATATATTATTTATTTTCTGTTGTAATTCATCATCAGAATCTCTACAATAAAATAGTATTCAGCAATCACAATGCATGGAAGCCATAGGTCGGTCCTTTTACTACATGCTGTTAACTATATATATAAATATGTATTTTAGTATATTCTTATGCAAATTAGTCTTCTTTCTGTCCTCAATTAGTCTACTGAGGGTCAGTCTTACCGACATTTTCTAATTTAATTGTTTCTTCACGTATGCCTGACCTTTAAGTCAACATTTTTCTTATTTTAAACATGATCTTGTGACCCCGCAGTCATGAAAACCTTAAGTGTTAATCGCTATGTCGACGGTCCAGTTGAGGAGAATCGAAGTGTAGTATTAATTTGTCATTAGATTAAATATATATATTTTATTATCTCACTAATTTAAAAGGGGTATGATTAGAATTTTGAGTTCAAAATTTATAAAGTTATTTCCCTTCTCTCCATCGTCTTTGATTTAGGGGAGAGACGTGTATATATATATATATAATGAAAAGAAGGGAAATGGAGATAATTAAAAGATAAAAATGATTTACAAATTAATAAATCTTAATGTAAATTTCTATACGAATTAATCTTCAATTGTAAGTGATAAAAAAATGGATCCTATGTCAAATGATTGGTATATAGAATAAATAAATGCCACGTGTTTTCTCAATAATTTAAAATTACACTTCCTCGTTAAGATTAATTAGCACCATTACTCTCCTTCCCCATCCTCTCCTTCTTCTCTATTCATTTCCTTTTGCCAACATCATGTATGAAAAAAACATATCACGTCTAGATTCTAGGACACACACACACATGAATAAAAGGAAATTAGTTATTAAGGAAATTCAATTCTTTTCCTTATTATATTTCTTACATTCATGTGATTTTTTCTTTCTTTTCAGGATGATATTATTAGATCATAGATGTATATTGTAGATTTTTTTCTAGCATGCAGTTTTATGTTATTAAATATAATTTTTTATTCAAAATTTGTCTAGAAGATTCTAAAAACCTTATTTTTTATGTTAAATTCTTTTCAATAATTTAAGATCGAGAAAGCCTTCCCATAATAAACAAAAGTTATTTTTTATTATATTTTTCTAATTAGTTTAGAAATATTTTATTACTTTTCATGTTTTGTTTAAAACTTTTATTTCTATTTGTTTATTCTCAGATTTTTCAGTTTACTCGAGTTAATTTTTAAATCTATTTAAGGAGTTGTAAATATCCAAAAAAGATACATTACATACATAGAAAATATTCAATAATAAAATTCTTAATTAAAATTTTCTGTATGATTCTTTTTAGCATGTTTTTGTGTTCTTGTACTTGTTATCTTACTTTATATTGCTTCCATCTTCATCTGTTACACTTGCATACGTTCTGTTCATATAACACATCACTCATCTTTTCATTTTAATTGATTGATCTTCTCGTAAAGGAAAAAAGATTATTGACGTGGGTTTTTTTCTTTTCCCCCTCAACAGGAAGCTCCATGGATCACTTTCAGCTATACAATAAAAAGTAGTGCTACTTTCACAACTTTTAAATCCCACCTCACTTGTTCCAGTTCCAGGGTTTGAAGGGGAGACCTTGGATTGAAAATCTCAAGTCTCAATTGTTAAGTTTTTCCATTTTGAAAACCATTGATGCCAACACCTAAATTTTCGAAATGTATTGTATGTACTATATATATAGAGCACTCAGATCTAAAGATACTTCTACATTTTGAGCTAGTTAACTGAACATATATGCTATCTAGCTGCATGTGCCATCTTACAGAAGTCTGATAATGGCGGGATACGATGAACATGAATGAATTTACTCCTCCTTGCTTATAGAAGTTAGATACACCCACACAGACACACGCACTGTTGTCTAATATAATTTGAGAAGAGCAGTGAGTGCTATATATTGCTTTAGCCTTTAGACGCTGGAAAGTGGAGGAAAAGATTCGTGAATAGTGGCATGGATGTCTATGTTTGCACGGAATTGGTACGCAGCTTGCATGCAAGACAAAGGCAGATGCTTTTTATGACATAATGGGTGTCCAAAGTGGTTTCAATCCCGAGGACTATGACGCTTTTTCTGGGGGTGATCATGCTCGCCTGTTCTCTCTTTCAAATTGCTTTGCTTTTACCTTTCCCTCCCTTCTTTTTGAAAACTGAAAAATAATGATCAATAATATTGTTTAAGATATTCAAGATAAGTCAACATGATGATAACACTATCACAATATAGTCACGTGAAACCCATTCTAGTACAAAACTAGAGTTTCTGGTTAATTTTTCTCTACCATAAAAAAAAATATTTAAATTATAATAATTTAGATAAATTTGAGTTAACTTGATTAATTTATTATTTGAGATGATTTAAAAATAAATAAAAAATTTAAAGTTCATAAATTTAATATTAAAAAATAAAATAAAAAAATAAAAGCTAAATCAGTTTAATTTTTAAAACTAGCAATTTTGGTAAAATAAAAAAACAAAAGCCAAATTAATCTAATCTTCAAAATTAGCAATTATGATAATTTAGATGAATTTGAGTTAACTATATTAATTCATTATTTGAGATGATTCTAAAGGAAAAAATAGAAAACTTAAAGTCCATTAATTTAATATCAAAAAATAAAATAAAAAAACAAAAACTAAATTAGCATAATCTTCAAAATTAGCAATTCTAGTAATGAAATAGAATGATCATATAAAAGATAAAAAAATATAGAATAAAATTCTTAACTATCAAAAAATCAAAAAGAAATGTTTAAATTATCATAATTTAGATGAATTTGAGTTAATTTGATTAATTCATTATTCGAGATGATTTTAAAGAAAAAAACAGAAAATTTAAAGTTCATTAATTTAATATCAAAAAATAAAATAAAAAACAAAAGTTAAATTAGTCTAATCTTCAAAATTAGCAATTTTAATAATGAAATAGAATGATCATATAAAAAACAAAAAAATCCAAAATAAAATTCTTAACTATTAAAAAATTAAAAAGAAATAAATAATAATCAAAATAATAAATATAAAATAATTTAGTATAGAAACTAGTAACAGAAGATAGTAAGGAATTTAGTCCAAAAAAAAATAAAAGAATGAGAATTAAAATTGAATAAAAAATATATGAAAAAAATGTTAAAAAAATAAAAAATAATAATTAATAAAGTATAAAAATATTATTTTGCCCACGAGTGTGCGTCGAATCCCTTGAATGGCAAAATGATTAGTTGACTATGGATTGTATTGTTCACCATCCTGAGAATTTCTATTTTAGTTAATTCATAGTATTATTCAATTTTTAAAGTTTATATTAAAAAAATTAATCCTTACTCAGAAACTTATTTACTTAAATGAAGGTTAAATTATTATCAAAATAAATCAGGGAACAATTTACCTTTGACGTGAAAGGGTGTTTTTTTTATAAAAAGACTGTCATGATAACTGCGCCGGGCAAACTTATTTTATTTCCTATAAATCTTTTCAAAAACTTCCTCAAGCTAAAACTTACTTACTTGTTTACGCGTGTCTTGTATAAATATATATGTATTTAAAAAAAAAATTACTCAAGCCAAAACCATGCTTTGATCATTTTTATGCTACATGTGAAAATAAAGAATAACTAATTTAAGAAAATTATATAAAAAATTTATACTAAAAAATATATATTTCATTCGAATTGAATATTCATGAGATTTGTTTTTAAAACAAGCATGCATATTAGTTTCATATATTATTAAACATACATGACTGTTAATGTTACCATTAAATATCTATAATCTTATTTTAAAAAAATACTGTATCGTTATATAATTTTTAAAATACCATTTCAATCTCTTTATTTAAAAATAATTTTACTTTATAATATTTTTTACAAAAAAATATTATAAAGTAAAATTATTTTTAAAAAAAAAACAAGAGGGGAGGGATAGTGAAATCTAAGGCCAGGAACCTGGGCTTTCCTAGACAGACATGCCCACATGTGTTGGTCTTGAAAAGAAGAAAGCCCATGCCTACATGGCTTTACGAAGCAAAACCGGTGCTTCGTTGGGAGGATCTTGTCTCGCTAACTTTTCATGGTAGGATCCAGCTACTCTAGTGTTAAAACATCTAACACTTTTTAAGATAAAATTAAAAGTGAAATTCACTTTTTTAAGAGTTAAAAATTTAATTAAAAATTATTTTTTGATAAATTTTTTTAACATGAAACATTAATATAATTATAAAAAATTATAAATATTAATTAGCATATTTTTATGAAACTCAAAACTCCCATTAAAAAAAATACAAATCTTATAATTTAAATAATGAAAAAATAAACACTCACTTAACACGGGCACATCCCCATGCACATCCCCATATTATAGGGATTAGATTCTTGTATGTTTTTTTGCTAATTTATTTTAGATTTAGATTTAGATTGTTTATAAATAATTTCTTGGTCTATAAAAAAAATAATTTTTCAACCTACGAATATAAAGAGTCTAAACATTATTTTTTGAACCTAAGCTGTTTCTTATACAATATTATTAGGTTAATTTTTATTGGTATGGTCAGTAGAGTATCTAGAAATAGTAATAAAGCAGCTCATGTTTTGTTAAAACATGCTGCTATTATCTATTGGAGTCAACCTCTAGTTTTATTTTATTGTATCCAGTACCTTCCAGAAGTTTACTAAAGCTCTTATTGAATAAAAACAAAAGACTAGATATTAAATATTATTATTCTTTCACATATACAATGTTTTTAAAAATTGTTGTTCTTACTCCATGAGATTTTATGAAGTGATAAGACTAACCACCTTATTATTCTCTTAAGAAATAAAATTGTGGTTATTTTATAAAATATTTTTAATAATTTATTTTTATTTTTACAAAATTATTTTTTTAAGATTAGCATATTAAAATAAGTTAAAATATATAAAATAAATGAATTTTTAATAAAAGAATTTTAAAATTTTGTAAAACACGATTAGTTAATCCTTCAAAACAAAATTGAAATCAAACACTGTAACTTTGATTTGCTTCGTCAATAAAATGAAAAGTGGTTCGAAGATGCTAGTGAAAAAAAACCTGATGTCGATGGGCAAAAAAGACATTTGACCTTGAACCACACCGCAAGTTAGAAGCTCGTGGTGAACATTTATTTATTTATTTATTTTTAAGAAACTCCAATAAAAAGAAATCTAAAATAAATAAACAGAACGTTAAAAGATATTAATTTTTTTTCTGGAAATAAATTGAAACCTCTCTTTCTCACCACAACACAAGAAAGACAAGACTAAACAACAACCAACCCCTTTCCTCCTCTCTCTTTCTCACATTTCTCCTCCTTCTCTCGCCACCCATACTCATCTTTAACCATCTCCACATCGTAATCGCTGTATTAACCAGAAAAGAGAGAAGCGAGGCCCAAAGATCAGACCTATTCTTTGATTATTGGCAGGCCATGGCTTGGAGGCGCCTAATCACCCAGGTCACTTCGATTTTCCTCTTCTTTACTTTGATCAAGGGCTTGTTTCCATTGATTTGTATTATTGTTTCTTTTTTAATTATTATTATTAAGTTTGAGATTGTTCTTTGACTGACAAAACCCTAGTTTTTCTTCTTCTGTTTGCTAATTGATTCGGGCCTGTTAATTATAGGGAGTTAGAGTTATTGAATCTAATTGCAATTTGATTATTAGAAACTGTTTTCCTTGTGTAAGACAAATGGGAAGTTCTATGTGAAATTTTATTAGATTGCCGAGGGAAGTTGTTGAATAATGGGAAAAAAATAGGGTTTTGAATTTGTGACGATGTGCTATTCTTTATTGAACAAGGGCAGCTATTCTTTATTGAACAAAGGCAGTAAAAATAGTTGGGTCTGGCACAGAAGTCTGTTTCTTAGTTTCAATTGTGAGATTAGAAGCATAGATTTTTTTTTTTGAGAAAAACATCTGTTTCTTATGGTCATAATTGTAATCACTTTAAGGAAGTAAATTGAATCCTGAGTTCATAATTTTTTTAGGTGCTTGATTGTGTGTCAATACTCGCACCATAACTAGTGATACCATCAATAGTTTTCCAGCTGCTTAATTGATTGCGTAACTGCACAGATATTTTCTGATTCACTTTTCTATAGAAACAATGGCTTATGGTATATGCAAATGCTTGTGTAACTGCACAGATATTTGTATACGGAGCCAAGAGCAACTTATGGCCTGCTAATTTGTTGGGTTTAGTTGAATTAAGCATGGCAATCCTTTGTCTTATTCTGTTAAGTTCTTAAAGCTGGTGGCTTTCTAAAATAGTTGAAAAAAATATACAAGGAATTAGGATGTAAAATGTCTAAAAGAAAGTTGAAAAAAAAAATACTAGGAATTAGTATGTAAAATGTCATGGTGATTCTCCTCTTGTTTTATTGAATTCTAGATTCATTTTGTGACAGGTTTCGAGGCATCAATCAGAGATGGGACAATTCAAAAACTTGTTTGTCAGAACTTATTTTCCCATAAACAAGTTTGGAGGCAGTGTAGGTATGTTATCTACCTTATAAAAACTTGTGGTGCTAATATGCAGAGACTAGCTTTTTGGTAAAAGGTATTAATTTGTCAGATACCTGTTGATGTGGAGGTATCATGGGCCAAAACATGATGACAATACTGCTCGTAACCTTAAGAAAATGAGTGGCATTCTTTGTCTTTAAATATTGAAATCTTGTATTTTTACTTTTTCTGCATGTTAACTTA